CTGAAAGTTCTGTCTGCAGCACAGAGCTTGTATTGGTCTTTACATGATTAATATGATCATGACCTTGCAGTCCAAGGATATCAAGGGGAATAACTCTAGTAGCACATTCCCATGCCAAGTGACGGCCTTGCGTCAGTAACAGTTGTGTTATTTGTTATTTGTATTTCATTATGTTTATGTTGTTTGACATGTGAATACTAATATGCATAAAACTTACATTTTGAGATAGTTCGAGAACAGACATTAGTGTTAATCAAATGGTAGACACAGGAAGAAAAAACAAACCAACAGGGCTAACAGTTCAAACATTTCCAGCTACCAACTAAAATTAAGTACTTGCAGGTAATAAGAAAGTATCTAAGAATACTGCAACTTTAGAATATTTCACAGGTGACATTCTTCATGGCATATAAAGCCAGACCAATTCCTTTTCTTGTATTACGTAATCTTTAGATCTAATTGACTGTATGGAGGAGGGAAAGTCATGAAAAACAAAAATTGTGGATTTATGGGGCCAAAGTAGTTAGACTGAGTCGGGGAAAAGAACAAGTTTGAAAATGGCCACCCTTTCCTGACTTATGGGTAACCACTCCAGATCTACAGATAAGCTGCGTATTTGCGTAAAATACCCCCCAAAACTATTCAAAACCCAATCACTTTCAATTAACTTGCGTACAGAAACACATGCTTTAAATGAAAAACACAAATGTTTAAAAATAGCATGCATAAATACCCAATGAACCTTTTTCAACATGTGTACAATGAAGCTAATTTCTGATACACAATTACGAGTTAATTTACTTCCCGAGTCAAGCCTATTGTTAAAACCCTTATATACATCTAAAACATTATTTTATCTCTTTGGAAATCTCAAAATATTAGCTCATTTTGGGAAAAACCCAATAGAGTGATGAAAAGATGATTGAAAAAATATTGGTTACCCAATGAAAAATGTAGTAACCCAATTGAAATAGAAACCATCGAGTAAAAACTCAATTGTATAAAAAGTTTTCTGGAGCTCTGCTACTCAGAAACCAACTTGTGCAACTCCGAGGAGCCAAACTTCTTGAAGCCGTAAATCCGACCAAGCAGGGCCTGTGACCTTGACATTCCATGACAAATCACCAACTGTTCTGAATTAGAAAGCTGTTCTGTTCTGTGACCGTTAGTATGCTCTCAACCTTGTGATGTATGGTATATATATATATATATATATATATATATATATAGTATTGCTTTCCTTGGAAAGGCCAAAAAGTCACACTCTGGGATTGTTTGTTTGTTTGAAAAAAATTAAAATAATCTTTGTATTATGGTAAAGTTCTTGAAGTTTTATTTATTACCACAGAGGATAATGTATTTTTATGGTATTTTTATAACGGATTAATTATTAAAGATTATGCAATTCTGTTGTAAGAGTGAGTGAGTGAGTTTATTTCAGTAAAGAGGCCACCGGCCCATTATACAATATGGATACAGTGGATTACAACAATAGCAGGCGCCAAAATTTATCAAATGAAGGTTGTGAATGGTAGTACTTAGGTATAAGACTATTTCTCAGATCTGAATAAAATTGACATTCAATGCAGAAATGATACTCAGTTTCAATCACACGGACTACACAAAATGGACATAAGCGTTCATCTCTAGAAAGACCAATTTTTCTTCCTTCTTCAAGCATTAGGTTATGGCTAGAACAACAGAAAGAACTAAGAGCAAATTGATATACTCTTAACAGGTATTGATGTTAAATATCTTTCTAATACAATGCATGGTTTAATTTGTGAATACATTGTAAGTTTGGAAAATGTTTTTAATTTACTTAACCAAGTTTGCTGATCTATATCTATACATCTTTGCTTAAAACAAACAATAAACTTATTTACATTTGGAACATCTTGATTACACCAGACAGAACCAAAACCATATGATGATAATAATTGTTTTACGTGAAAAGCCCAACATTCAATACCTTTATCCGCCAAGGACACTTGATAATCATAGACATTTTTCAAAATAGGATTATCAGTTTGAAATAACAATCTAGTCCAATATTTAATAATTTTCATGTATTGGTTTACTTCAAGTGAATAACGACCTATCTCCCCCCTTGCAACAATATTAGGTGTACTCCGTCTTAAATGTAAAAGCTGTTTACAGAAATTGTCATGGAATGTATTAATATCAGGTGAAGGATGAACCCCCCAGACTTCACTGCCATACAACAAGATTGGTAGGAGCTTGACATCAAATAAATGAGTCAAAACATGTAAAGGTCACTTATGAAAGAGTTGTAAGAGTGTACCAGCATATATATCCCTTCTGTCAATTAAGCATCTGTTCTCTGTGAAAATATATATACCTTTGGGAAGTACAGATTATTAGCCATTATATTATTATATACTATTAGTCATATATTTGGAATTAAATTGTTTTAGCAAGTGTTTGGTGATCACAATGCATATTTTGTTTATTCCTGTTTCATTCTACACAATTTTCGATAGGAAATTTCAATTTCTTTATGTACAGAAATATTCTTATCATATTTTGAGTAGTATATTATGTTTACACGATGGAGCACAGGACGTTAATAATCTATACAGTACAGACATGTCCTTATTAAATCTGATTATGATTTAATTCTGATCACAAAAGCTGCTTATTGCTTCGATGCAGGGGAGCATGGAGACAAGATACTAGGGATAGAAACACATCTCTAAATAAGCTCTGCTGCTGTTATTACTGTGGTAACTGATGCTTGAAATTGGCAGTTCAGTAATCATGAGCAGGTGTGCTATTAGAGTGAAAAATCCCAACCAACATTGTGAACTTCTTTATTCACAGCAAGCCCAAGGGCCCTGTTTAACAAAGCGATCGCTTAGACAGTCGCCGCTCCCATACATTTACATGGACTTACGATAATCGTAGCCCTGTGATTTCTGCGTTGAACAGGTCCCAGCTCCACACTCATGACTTGCTTAGAACTGAAGATAATCTTGGTTTAGTGTCTGTTTTGGTCATCATTTCTTAAAAACATTCTTGAAAATCATTTTCATAGTATCGATAACTTATATGCTTATTTGCCGACACTGAAAGGTGTATATTCACAATTACACTAAAGAATAAGACAAGCCAATCTAGAGGTACTTCTGCAAACATTAGGGCAAGAAACATTTAATCATTAAGGGTACGTTTGATTGTCTAACACTGAATATACGATCAGAAAAATTGTAAAAGAAAATGCTAGACACACAAACTTGATTCAGCTGAAGCCAGAAGTGCTGCACACCTTTATCTAGTCCAATGTCAGTCGTATTTTACAAAGCTTGGAAATTCCGATGTTTATCGTGCATATCAAGTTGTTGTGAGTGTTGTCTCCTCCATGTCAAGTGTACATAATGGACTCACTGTGTCACTTTGACCTGTGTAGGTTGTTATTGGTTACAATGTCACGGGGTCATGTGTGACATGTGTCAGACAGTGCATTGCTTGAGGTAAAAATACTAGATCTATAGTCATTACTAATATTTCTTGTCAAAAGACAAAAATATATGAAATAGTGAAAATAACAAATATGAATAAGTTAGTCAAGACAAAAAGTACATTAGATTTTGTCTCTTATTTACCTGTGTCTGTCATCCATTATTCTGTTCATTCAAAAGATCCCAGTAAGTCAAATGTCATATACTACCTCGATGTATTACATTTCGAGCAGCTAGCTGTGTTAGGCAGTAGTATATAATTCCTGGAGAGGTGAGGTGGTGCAGGGGCCCAGTAAAACAAATGCAGCAATTTGCAGTGCAGAGTTGTGTCCCCTTGGCATGCCAGGAAACTATGATCGTGGGTTCAAATACCTGATTCGTCCTAATTATGTTATAGGTTTGTCAGTACCTTAAATAGGTAAAGTGGTAAATATCTGAGGCCTACACAAATTGGGCTTTCTGGACACATCAAGGTTTAAGCCGTGATGTAACTGAAATCCTGTTCAAAACAGGATTAAACCAAACTCTCTCACTCACTCACTCACTAGCTGGTGAGGTGATTGTCAATACCTTTAGTAATCTCATTGTAATGAGTTTGTGCTTCGGTCACAACAAATTCATTATTACATTTTATCTAATCATTTTAAAGAATCTGAGGTGAGGCATTTTATTTCTCTGTATGTATTTTTATGAAAGGTTCAAGGCATTTAGCTTTTCAACAAATCTTATTCGCATAAATCATTAACTTTATTGTTAAGGTTTCAAAAGATAAATAATGAAAAGAGCTTGTATAAAATGTAAATGTCTTAAAACTGACCCATGACACCACAGGCACCATGTTTTCACCTTAAAGTTGGGGTCACATGTTTTGCATTCTACATTTACTTATGTTACATGGCACAATTTCTCTTGTCTTTGGGATAATAAGGTTTGAGGTGGGATATTTGGTCCTTAGGTGGGACCAAACCTGATAATTAATCTTTATGGCCTAAATAGTCTCATGTAGAATTAATATAATAATATGCATTTGTAAATTTAAATAATGTTGAGTTTTTGTTAGTCATATACTTTTTATTGAATAATCATCAATAAATATATAAAATATGTAGAAAAGCATAGGGTAAGATGGTTTGAACAAATTTGTCTGTACATAGTTGTTAATGTTGTGTTAATTTTGATGTATCCATTAATCAGCCATGTTTCATAAAACTGTTTTGTTTGTGTTGATCTTATTTATCTTCTTAAAGATATATTTCACCAATCATCATTTGAACAAAATATCTTTTTAAATTACTCTACATAAAATCAGATCATCTTCATAACAACATGATCCTTCATGTAGTTTAAGAAAATATATCCATGTCTATTAATAAGTTCATTTTCTGAGTTTTCAGCTGTATGTTGATTATAAACTAATAAGAATTATGTACATGAAGTAAGGAAGGTCTTTAAACAATTGTTTAAGTATGAAATGGAATGCCATGGCTGTTGCTGCAACATTGTTGCTTTGTGTTTCAGGAATATATTTCCAGACAATATTCTCCAGGCAGGGTTCCAACACACAAGAACGATATACGTCAAAGCTCCAGAAGAGGAGGTTGACTCCAATCTGACTGGTCTGTTAAACGAAACTATCACCACGACAACTGTCATGACAACAGTGACAGATAACTCCACCGGGGCCAACACTACTTACATCCTGATGAAGGAAGAAAAATGGATTCGAACTTTTCCCTACTCTAATGGAATAAATGTTTTAGGTAGGTGATGTTGTGAGCTCATCGGGCAGGAGGGGATTATTTTGAAACATCATCAGCAACCAACTCCTTGAACCCAGTCCATCACGGTTAAGCTCATAACTTTTCAGCCACCCCTCGTTGCCCTGATACATTATTACAAATATCATTATCAAGAAAAAGTTCATATTCTTGAAGTTTCCAAATGAGAATCAAAAGAATCTTTAGCATTACAGATCCTAAGTTCTGAAAACCACATTGGGCAGAGGAGGTGTTAGACCTCGTTCGATTCCCTACATGGTGCAATGTGTGGACTCTTGAGGGAATATTGCTGAGACGGACTAGAACAATACTCACTCACTCACTCACTCACTCACTCACTCACTCACTCACTCACTCACTCACTCACTCACTCACTCACTCACTCACTCACTCACTCACTCACTGCTTGTGTTTCAGGTTTGATCATGTTCTGTACAGCGTTCGGCATCATCATGAGCAACATGGCAGAGAAGGCCAAACTGATGGTGGACTTCTTCTTCATCCTGAATGAGATCATCATGAGGATCGTCGGGATGGTCATGTGGTGGGTACTTCAGTGTGGTGCTTCTGTGGGGAATACAGACGAGAATATCTTGTGGTTGGGGCTCTAGTTTCTATAGATTTGTCATCATCTGTCAGTCATTGTTAGTATGAAATCCATAGCTACCGTTATCTTCTTGCCCTCCTTACCTGCTCTAGATTCATCCAGGACACCCGTATGCCAACATGGTCCATCTAATGTGATCCATTACCAACCTTTATCTTCTTGCTCTCCTTACCTGCTCTAGATTCACCCAGGACACCCGTATGCCAACATGGTCCATCTAATGTGATCCATTACCAACCGTTATCTTCTTGCTCTCCTTACCTGCTCTACATTCAGCAAGGACACCTGTATGCCAACATGGTCCATCTAATGTGATCCATTACCAACCGTTATCTTCCTGCCCTCCTTACCTGCTCTAGATTCAGCCAGGACACCCGTATGCCAACATGGTCCATCTAATGTGATCCATTACCAACCGTTATCTTCTTGCTCCCCTTACCTCCTCTAGATTCAGCCAGGACACCTGTATGCCAACATGGTCCATCTAATGTGATCCATTACCAACCGTTATCTTCTTGCTCTCCTTACCTGCTCTAGATTCAGCCAGGACAGACGTATGCCAACATGGTCCATCTAATGTGATCCATTACCAACCTTTATCTTCTTGCCCTCCTTACCTGCTCTAGATTCAGCCAGGACACCTGTATGCCAACATGGTCCATCTAATGTGATCCATTACCAACCTTTATCTTCTTGCTCTCCTTACCTGCTCTAGATTCAGCCATGACACCTGTATGCCAACATGGTCCATCTAATGTGATCCATTACCAACCTTTATCTTCTTGCCCTCCTTACCTGCTCTAGATTCAGCCAGGACAGACGTATGCCAACATGGTCCATCTAATGTGATCCATTACCAACCGTTATCTTCTTGCTCTCCTTACCTGCTCTAGATTCAGCCAGGACAGACGTATGCCAACATGGTCCATCTAATGTGATCCATTACCAACCGTTATCGTCTTGCCCTCCTTACCTGCTCTAGATTCAGCCAGGACAGACGTATGCCAACATGGTCCATCTAATGTGATCCATTACCAACCTTTATCTTCTTGCTCTCCTTACCTGCTCCAGATTCACCCAGGACACCCGTATGCCAACATGGTCCATCTAATGTGATCCATTACCAACCGTTATCTTCTTGCTCTCCTTACCTGCTCTAGATTCAGCAAGGACACCTGTATGCCAACATGGTCCATCTAATGTGATCCATTACCAACCTTTATCTTCTTGCTCTCCTTACCTGCTCTAGATTCAGCCAGGACAGACGTATGCCAACATGGTCCATCTGATGTGATCCATTACCAACCGTTATCTTCTTGCTCTCCTTACCTGCTCTAGATTCATCCAGGACACCTGTATGCCAACATGGTCCATCTAATGTGATCCATTACCAACCTTTATCTTCTTGCTCTCCTTACCTGCTCTAGATTCATCCATGACACCCGTATGCCAACATGGTCCATCTAATGTGATCCATTACCAACCTTTATCTTCTTGCTCCCCTTACCTGCTCTAGAGTCAGCAAGGACACCTGTATGCCAACATGGTCCATCTAATGTGATCCATTACCAACCGTTATCTTCTTGCTCCCCTTACCTGCTCTAGATTCAGCCATGACACCTGTATGCCAACATGGTCCATCTAATGTGATCCATTACCAACCTTTATCTTCTTGCTCTCCTTACCTGCTCTAGATTCACCCAGGACATCTGTATGCCAACATGGTCCATCTAATGTGATCCATTACCAACCGTTATCTTCTTGCCCTCCTTACCTGCTCTAGATTCACCCAGGACACCCGTATGCCAACATGGTCCATCTAATGTGATCCATTTCCAACCTTTATCTTCTTGCTCTCCTTACCTGCTCTAGATTCATCCAGGACACCCGTATGCCAACATGGTCCATCTGCATTAATAACGTGATCCATTACCAACCGTTATCTTCTTGCCCTCCTTACCTGCTCTAGATTCACCCATGACATCTGTATGCCAACATGGTCCATCTAATGTGATCCATTACCAACCTTTATCTTCCTGCCCTCCTTACCTGCTCTAGATTCAGCCAGGACATCTGTATGCCAACATGGTCCATCTAATGTGATCCATTACCAACCTTTATCTTCCTGCCCTCCTTACCTGCTCTAGATTCAGCCAGGACATCTGTATGCCAACATGGTCCATCTAATGTGATCCATTACCAACCGTTATCTTCTTGCTCTCCTTACCTGCTCTAGATTCAGCCATGACACCTGTATGCCAACATGGTCCATCTGCATTAATAACGTGATCCATTTGCAACTAAGAACATATATGTTCCAGGTACTCCCCTATTGGTATATTCTTCCTGATCATTGGGAAGATCCTGTCCTTGGAGGACCCTGCTAAGGTTGGAGAGCAGCTTGGCATGTACATGCTGACAGTGTTGTCCGGCCTCATCATCCACGCTGTCATTGTTCTCCCCGCCATCTACTTTGTCATCACCAGGAAGAATCCTCTAAAGCTCTTCATCGGCATCCTCCAGGCTTGGGTCACTGCTCTGGGTACAGCCTCAAGGTAAGGCACCAGATATATCTGGTCAGAATATGTCCCCAGGGCAATCTTGGCCCAAATACTTCAAGGCTCCTTGTTTGAATGTTCTTTTTCAGTAATTTTAGAAACTGCATTATGAGAACAGAATTTTACAAGATTTTAAAAAAAACCGGAAATGTCTAGTTTGCATTTTTTACACCATACAGGAATTTGTCACATGGCATTAGTAAACCAAAACAAAAATGAATTTTGACCTAATGCAATAGTGTTATCATTGTATCATTTGTGTAATCATGAGATTGAAAATACCCATTTTCATGTCTGATTTTCTTAATGCCCAAATATATTTTGTGAATCATACTGTACATTAAGCATGTTCACATACATGCATCATTTCCCTGTGTTTGTCTGGTTTGTTGTGGTTTCATACGATGGTGAGTTTGTGAGTGAGAGATTTGGGTTTAATGCTGCTTTTAACAGTATTCCAGTTATATCACAGCATGTCAGCTTAATGTCGGAGAAAAGCCTGAAGTGATGACAGGTCTCAGACATTTACCACTTCGGTGAAACCCAGAAAATGGGTATGGTGCTGACAAACCTAGACACAAGATCAGGGTAAACCGGGATTCAAACCCACAATCATAGGTTTCTGGCATACCCAATGGACGAATTGCTGTGCCTTAAACGACTGGGCCACCCACGCTCCTCATGTGATAAATATTGTAACAAGGTATTGTTGTTAAATATATGATTACTAAGAGTGCAGGTCAGGATCAGGGAAGGTACTTTAAGCATTATTGAACCATGCCATCAACGCTAACATACAAGGAACCCTACTTTCTCTTCACCAGTATGATTATCTGGCTGATAACAGTCAATATCAGGCACTCTCAGAGTTGAAGTGATTATATGGAGATATAGTTCATAGACTAATGAATACTAATGAATGATTAATGAATAATATGAATATCTGCTTTTGCCATATGGTCATATTGAAGGGATCAGATGTTTGATATCTGAATATAAACTGGCCTGATAAGCATTGTGGGATACTTGGTTTACAGAGTCAATATGAGAAATGTTACCCAAGAAGATTTTATGAAAACAATCTGTTTAATTATGCACTGCCACTGACAGATGGCACAGTTTAATTAAATATCAACTTTTTATTTATGTGCATGTCATTAGCTCTTCTACTGTTTATTCCCAATTTTACCGTGAAATTGGAAATTACTCAGTTCTTATTGGTCATTTAGAGGTATTACAACAACCAATGGCAGTTAATTCAAATCACTTCCTGTTAAATATGGCCGCTGTGGCACTCGACATGTTATCAGCGTTTCGGTCATTTGTTATCACCAACAACCACTACAAATATATGTTCAACAGTTTCTACTGCCACCAATATTTGGCTTGAAAAAAATAAAAGAATTGGTTCCCAGGCAATGACTTTTGAAAATATAGTGCGAGCGCGCAGTGGTTTTTGTTTGTTCAAAGTAGTAAGTAACCAAATAAACAGTTGTGTACCATCAACCTGGGAAAGGGCCTCCCTACATAAACAAGCATACAAAATCCTATTGCTAGCATGACCATAACACACGATGCACATTATAGCAGTGTGCATGTAAAGGGAAGAAAATGTGTTCTATATTGGATCACATTGTTTTTAAGTAGTAGGATTTTTTTGAAGAATTTTGAAAATGGAAATAAAAAACGAAACGTGCAGCAGACTTTATGATGATGCGGGCGGTGCCTAAGAAGCCATACTAGTATTTTTTTGGCCTTACTTACATATAACAATGTCTCCTTTTTCAGGGCTCCATAATCACCTTCATCATGTTCTCAAAAAGTGCACCCAATTTATAAAATGCTTCTAAATATAATTAGTAACCCACAACACCATAAAGAGCCTTAGATCATACCCATAAATATAGAAAAGCGGAAAAGAGTATCTAAATTCGTATTTGTATTTCCTATTCTGCTGAAGACAAACTTAAGTGTTTATGCAAGCAGTAGATTAAACTGGTAGAGAAAAGGGGTCAAAAGGTTAGGAACCCACAACACCATAAAGAGCCTTGGATCATACCCATAAATATAGAAAAGCGGAAAAGAGTATCTAAATTCGTATTTGTATTTCCTATTCTGCTGAAGACAAACTTAAGTGTTTATGCAAGCAGTAGATTAAACTGGAAGAGAAAAGGGGTCAAAAGGTTAGACTTTCAGAAAATAGGATAAACTAGGTTCAACAACAACACAAACTTAACACACTTAGTAAAGTATTCAGATAACCTTTCGCAGCACACACCAAAATAAGGAAATTTATTTTTTATTTTTTTTAACATATGGACAAATATCTTTCATTGAAACAGCTGCAAACCAACAATTATAATATAATATATTGCCCGATGAAGGTGAGCTTCTGTACCTGAGGTTCATGTTTACTGGTCCTTGTCACCAGTAGAAGATGACATGTTCAGTCTGATCTCTGTGATAGCATTGACAAACGACAGGGACCCTCGGTAGTAACTCATACTGTCATCTTATTACCTTTGTCAGCTCTGCAACACTGCCTGTGACATTCCGATGTCTGGAAGAAAATTTGAACATTGACCGACGTGTGACGAGATTTGTCCTGCCTATCGGCTCCACCATCAACATGGATGGCACGGCGCTGTACGAAGCTGTGGCACCGATCTTCATTGCACAGATGAATGGCATTGACCTCAACTTTGGCAAGATCATCACTATCAGGTAATGAAATTAGGCGTGTTTCTTTATACGACTGCGACGTCATATCATTTGCATCAATGGGCAGTGTAAGGTCTTATATCTAGTGGAAGCGCTTCATTTTCTTTACGGGTGCCCACGTCTTGTTGGCTCATGAGGTATCCGTGGAACACACTTTCATACCATGCCAGATGTGGGTGAGGTATTACGACATCTTTTGAGAATATTTGTAACCATACTCATTATAAGCTTTTATTTGTGTTTCCATAAATTCATATCAACAACTCGCTCAAAACGTTTTATGTACAAGCCTGGACTAATGCTGGTCTTATTGTGCCAGCCCACTGAGATACCATGCTGCAGTTTAACATGGATACCCCACTCAGACACAGTATGCTGACTCTGAGCCGACCAGTCCTTGTTTTTGCCCACTGAGATACCATGCTGCAGTTTAACATGAATACCCCACTCAGACACAGTATACTGACTCCGAGCCGACCAGTCCTTGTTTTAGCCCACTGAGATACCATGCCGCAGTTTAACATGGATACCCCACTCAGACACAGTATGCTGACTCCGAGCCGACCAGTCCTTGTTTTTGCCAACTGAGATACCATGCTGCAGTTTAACATGAATACCCCACTCAGACACAGTATACTGACTCCGAGCCGACCAGTCCTTGTTTTTGCCCACTGAGATACCATGCTGCAGTTTAACATGGATAACCCACTCAGACACAGTATGCTGACTCTGAGCTGACCAGTCCTTGTTTTTGCCCACTGAGATACGATGCCGCAGTTTAATATGGATACCCCACTCAGACACAGTATGCTGACTCTGAGCTGACCAGTCCTTGTTTTTGCCCACTGAGATACCATGCTGCAGTTTAACATGGATACCCCACTCAGACACTGTATGCTGACTCTGAGCTGACCAGTCCTTGTTTTTTGCCCCCTGAGATACCATGCTGCAGTTTAACATGGATACCCCACTCAGACACAGTATACTGACTCTGAGCCGACCACTACATTTTTATCCCATTTATGCCAAGGTAGCAACAAGTACCACCTATTAAAATGTTTTGGTATGATGCTGGAGAATAACTGTCTCCATTATTCAACGAAACAGATTCTATTGGGAGTAAGAGGCAAAAATAGTTGTGAAAATTAAAGGAATGGGTCACTGAAAATGAATGAGGCCACCAAGTGTTTGCAAGAAGCATGTTCTGCCCTGCAGGGAGCTTCCTCCACTCACGCAGTCTGCATAAATCCAATGATTGACATCATGATGGGATAGGATGACATGCATCAACCAAGTCGGCGAGACTGACCACCCGATTCCGTTAGTCGCCTCTTACGACAAGCATGGGTTGCTGAAGACCAATTCTAACCAGGATCCTCACGGGTCTCATACAGCCTGATATTTAACACTTTTTTGTATGTGACACAGATGTATTTTGTTTCAGTCTGACAGCAACATGTGCCAGTATTGGCGCTGCCGCCATCCCTAGTGCTGGTCTGGTTACCATGGTGATGGTGTTGACATCTGTTGGGCTTCCTGCTGACGATGTCAGTATTATTCTGGCTGTTGATTGGTTCTTGTAAGTATTGTTATTATCAGTAGGAAAAATAAACATGTTGTTAGTGAAACTGTGCATTATTGAAGTGAGTGAGTGAGTTAACGCCGCTTTTAACAGAATTCCAGTTATATCACGGTGTCAGCTTAATTTGGGAGGAAAGCCTGAAGTGATGCAGGTCTAAGACATTTACCACTACGGTGAAACTCACAAGCACGGGTACGGTGCTGCCAACCTAGAAACATAATCGGGGCGAACTGAGATTGGAACCCACCATCATAGACAATGTCTCAGACATTTACCTCTTTGGTGAAACCCACAAACACGGGTATGGTGCTGACAAACCTAGACACAAGATCAGGGTAAACCGGGATTAGAACCCACATTCATAGGTTTCTAGCATGACCAAGGGACGCAACTCTGCACAGCGAATTGCAGCACCTAAGACGACTGGGCCACCCGTGCCCCGGTGCATTATAGAAATGATGTTCAGTTTGCAAGCATGCTTCTCAGGATGTTGACTCTTGATTCTGGACTTTTGATTTATCTGGATCTCAAATATGAACCAAATTTTCAGTCACAAAAGTCGTTATGTTAATTTAACAAACTGAAACTAAATAATCTGAAATTTTCTTCAACTTCGATTTTTGACTGAAAGGACCAAATGTAATTGATGCTCTATAACCATTAACAAGCAGAATGTAAGGCACTCTCAAGCCATTTCCATCAATATGCTACCATATAGGCCAGGGACGAGGCAAATGTACTACCCGGGTACTGCTGTAGGTATCAAGACTTGGGTACAAAATGTCCGATTGGGAATTGTTTTACTGAGAAATACACCATGTAACGATCTGGTCAGACAGACACTGAAGTTGACTGAAGCTTTTTCTTTATTCAAAACTATAAAAGTAAAAAATCAGAAGGAATGCGATTATTAGTGACTTTTAGTGTAACAAAGGGAGTTGTGGTTACTTTTTGTCATAAAACAATATCTCACATGACTAACCACTGGGGTCCAGGTAGTCCTGGAGGTACCTGGTCCTACTCAGTACCGATTTGTAGTCAGGCCACTGATGGAGATCCCATCCTTGAATCAGGCCACTGATTGACTAGATCTAGTCTTGGAGGCTGGGTCCCATGTAGAGAAACTGTATCTAGTCTTGGATACTGGCCGTCTCTGGAGAGAGTAGATCTAGTCTTGGATACTGGTTCTGGCCTAAGTAACATTGAGCTACTTCTTTAACAACACCTTTAAAATCTTCTGATGTAGGCTTTGTGATTCCAGTGGAATATTGTTGACCGTGGTATTAGACAATATTCACTCACTGTCACTACTGCTCTGTTTGTCTTGAAGTGTGTTAATTCCTGTGGGTGAGGGACATTTGCCCCAGGATAATACTGATAATATCATCATTGTGGGGGTACATGGTCCTGTGTACAGCACACAGGTCATGCTCAGGTCAAGTTAAGCGACATTGGTTGCAGGGAGTAGTTAGATGGGAGACTGCATTTTGCAACTTGACTCCTGAGAGTTTCTAGGGCTTTGGTCCTGCCACGCTGAAGCACATTTAGCACACACGTGTGATGTCTCATGTCCCCTGAGGCAAGTGACTTTTGTTCGAAATATACCTCTGTGAATGGGTACCCGGTAGGATGAAATGGAATTGTGACAGTTAACCTTCTAGTGCCTCACAGACAGATTGGGTTGTATACTCCCCAAGGAGCTGAGAGCACAGGAATCCATTGGCTTGGGTGATAATGGAGCCCTATGAGCATGCTTTTGGGTGTGGACTTGATACATGACAAATATGTATGTTGTTGTTGTTGTTATCATCATTATTATTATCATCATCATTATGATTATCATTATCATGAAGCCTATTTCTGGTGTCCACCGCCGTGATATAGCTGGAATATTGCTAAAAGCGACGTAAAACCATACTCACTCACTATTATCATTATCATCATTATTATTATTATCTGTTTGCAGGGACAGAATCAGGACATCTGTGAACGTGTTGGGTGACAGTTTTGGTGCTGGAGTCATCGCACATCTGTCCCGCCATGAGCTGTCCGAGGACCGCCATGCACCGCTGGACGACAATGTTGAGATGAAGGATGCAGATGACTGGGCGAATCAAGCCAATGGGGAAGTCCCGCCCGAGGAGGCCAAGATGATGGACGGCTGAATCATGTGTCCGAACAACAGGCATCACTTCACAGCTCCATTAGAATTGCCTTAGTCACAATACTTTTCTATGGTTTAGAAATATATGTGATGGTTTCGATTACATGGATTTCAAACTGATATGGATAGTAGAAAAATGATTTTTTTAAAGTGTCTTATTTAGAAAATGAGATGAGTGCTTGTGTAACAAGTAGTATTTAAGTATTTGGTAATATGTATATATTAGGTCAGCTAATTAATCGAAATCACACATGTATTTCACTCCACCTAATCCTTATCAGTTAATGATCGACATATTTTGAAGTACCTGGTCTCCTCCAGCACATGGGCGTCCCAGTTTCACATGCAGTACAGACAGACCTGGTGTTGAAAACCGGCTTCCATTAGTGAGATCTAGTCCTTGGGACAAGCCCCACATGGACTGACTAGATCTAGTCTTGGATGCTGGCTGGTTGAAGAGAGACTAGATCTAGTCTTTGAGTCAGGCCACTGATGCACTAGTCAGGCCACTGATGGATAGACCAGATCTAGTCCTGGAGGCTGGCTGTCTGTAGAGAGACTAGATCTAGTCTAGATTTCATGAAATCTTGAAAGATTTTTTGGGGCAAGATGGTGCTAACGGCAGTATGTATATTCCTGCATAATTCATGTCACATTCATTCTCCACCCAAGTTCAGCCTGATTTACAAACATACCACAACGAATGTATGACAGATGATATCCCACAGGAAATAGTTCTTGCCTCAACACTGGTGCATTGTGGTTCCCTGAACTTGCCTCTGAGTGAGACCAGGATGTGCTTCTCCCGGCATGTGTAGTTTCCAGTGCTGTAGATCAGGAATCCTACCTTCCATGCAGTGATGGAGGGACATTTGTGTGTACATATTTCCTCATCTTCTCGAGTCCTGTTTCCACCCTTGCCACACCAAGCCCACTTTCCTGCGCTAAATATGAAAGGACTATCGCACATATCAATAGTCCAATCAGAGAACGTTTCACAAAATCAACATCCACGACTGGTACACCTTCATATAGAAGTGATTTACCGATGCCTGTCTTTGTTGACACGTCTTTTTCATCACAGAACCACCCCCCAACAATTGCCTGTGTTTTTTTTGTCAGGGATGAAATCGTGAATGCTTTCGTTATATGACCTACTAGGTCATCGCCTATGGTAGTCGCCATCTTTGTGAAGCTATAAGAGATCAGCGATCTGATTGGATAGCGCGTTTTCATTACAAGGGGCACAACTCGTGATCTACGCGAGGTGGCGCCATGGTCGAGCCAATTAAAGTGGTCTTGATGTGGCAAGGGTAGAAACTAGGCTTTGATATAGGCTAGTGGGCATGCTTTCCCCGGGAACAGGACATTTCCTGTGTGTATGTAGAACAGGAAATGTCCTGTGTGTATGTAGAACAGGACATTTCCTGTGTGTATGTAGAACAGGACATTTCCTGTGTGTATGTAGAACAGGAAATGTCCTGTGTGTATGTAGAACAGCACATGTCCTGTGTGTATGTAGAACAGGACATTTCCTGTGTGTATGTAGAACAGGACATGTCCTGTGTGTATGTAGAACAGGACATTTCCTGTGTGTATGTAGAACAGCTGCTACTCACTTACCTGCTATTTGCTGAGAATGTAAAATTTGCAGTTACAGCAAGGACATTATTATTTAGTTCTGATTATTATGTATGCCAGACTGATTTATTTTCTTTTGTTTTTTGCCCAACAAGCCTACCATGAATAATAAGTATTAAAATGAATAAATAAATGAAATATGTTTGATTGAAACTATATATTTGTTCAAATATGTTTGGTTGCATTTTGATCGAAACGTTTTTTCTCAATATTCTTATATGAAATTAACAACAAATCAATGTAAATAACATTTTTTTAATTTGCCTCTTGCTGCTTTGAATATTGAATAAAATAATTCATTAAACAAGAACTTCATTTAGCCTGGCTTTAGACTGAACATGTATACAATTCGGGTGTGTTTTGTTGATATTAAACTTTTTATCCAGTTTTGTAAATATGGGTGAATAAGATTTCTTACTAATTTGATTGCCTTTGTTAAGAAAGTATATATGTTTTGTTTGTTAACAATTTCAACATCTGTTCCACATTTAATTTGTTATCATTGTCACTCAAATTTGCTATATCTCAAATATCTGTATCAACAGTGTACATGTCACATGACAACAGTGTACATGTCATGTGACAACTTATATGACATGTGACAACAGTGTACATGTCATGTGACAACTTATATGACATGTGACAACAGTGTACATGTCATGTGACAACTTACATGTCACCTGACAACCGTTCATGTCATAACAACGATGCAGGGGTGGGAAAATCAGTCTGATGTAAGGGCCATTATATTTGTATGACTTTTCATCTTAGGTTATTGGACATGTACACAGATTGGATCAGTAGATTAAGTCATCAATCAAAACAAGTAATTTGTATGAGATTATTCATTGGTTTTGCGTAGTGTTGAAACAGGATATATTATACATAATGTGTCAGACCTGAACCGTTTTCTTTTAATCATGTTGTCACAAATGTGAATTTGTCTTGCATTGTGATCATGTGAAATCAATGTATGAGTCATGTGACATCAATGTACACATCATGTGACAATAGTATATGTGTCGTGTTGTAGAACTAGAGTATGTGGTCTTCTCAAATCCAACACCCTTTTTTTACTTATCTGCAGTATAACTTAGGCAGGTGCTTGTTGATTGTTTAGTTTATAGATTGACCAGAGTTTCACAAAGAAAATATATTAAGTGTTTGTCTTCTTCCTGCTGAGAATTTAAATGATGAAAAAAGCTTGGACAAGCACCCTAAGAGTGGTTTCTTTCATGCCCTTTTTTTTCCTTTTATATTTATGAGCATTCTTTAGAAATCACTAAATTATTGACCCATGGAACCAAAATCTGTCAACTATACAACTCACAACCTTATTTTGTAGCATGAAATTGATTGTGAATTACAGAGGAGGATTTTCTCTCAAGTTATAATGTTCTTATGTAGGACGTAGTGCAAATATTTCTTAGGTGTACAATATTTTCTTGCATTTATTTCTGTGATCTTGAAGACTTGGGAATTAAACCTGAATCATTCGAACTAAATTGACTCATTTGTGTGCCCAAGGTGTTCTTTCCAGCTAAAAAAATCTACATAATGTGTCAGACCTGAACCGTTTTCTTTTAATCATGTTGTCACAAATGTGAATTTGTCTTGCATTGTGATCATGTGAAATCAATGTATGAGTCATGTGACATCAATGTACACATCATGTGACAATAGTATATGTGTCGTGTTGTAGAACTAGAGTATGTGGTCTTCTCAAATCCAACACCCTTTTTTTACTTATCTGCAGTATTACTTAGGCAGGTGCTTGTTGATTGTTTAGTTTATAGATTGACCAGAGTTTCACAAAGAAAATATATTAAGTGTTTGTCTTCTTCCTGCTGAGAATTTAAATGATGAAAAAAGCTTGGACAAGCACCCTAAGAGTGGTTTCTTTCATGCCCTTTTTTTTCCTTTTATATTTATGAGCATTCTTTAGAAATCACTAAATTATTGACCCATGGAACCAAAATCTGTCAACTATACAACTCACAACCTTATTTTGTAGCATGAAATTGATTGTGAATTACAGAGGAGGATTTTCTCTCAAGTTATAATGTTCTTATGTAGGACGTAGTGCAAATATTTCTTAGGTGTACAATATTTTCTTGCATTTATTTCTGTGATCTTGAAGACTTGGGAATTAAACCTGAATCATTCGAACTAAATTGACTCATTTGTGTGCCCAAGGTGTTCTTTCCAGCTAAAAAAATCTCAGGAATAAAAACATAATAAGTAAAGTACAGCGGAATTTCTTTTGTTTTTAACTCAAATGTTTTAACAGACTTAGTGATTTTATTTCTCCTGGCTACAACACATGGCTTGGCTTGGTCATGTCACCATAATACCGTATTCGAGGTAATAAGCGCCCAGGCGCTCTCAAAATTAGAAATAGGGGGCTCTTATTAGAATATTATTTTGATGGAAAAAAAACAGTTGAAAGATAAATTTCGTGGTTTATGTTGACGGTCTGAACTGTTTATATATGACAGATATATTTTTCCAGAATTGACTTGCCCAAAATTAAGGGTGCATATAACACACGAGTGCGTATTATACACGAATAAATAAGTCGTGTACATTGACCAATCGGAAGGGATGCTAATTGGGATTGTTCACTTGCCAATATATTAGCAAATATCGCCGTGGGCGCTTATTAGAGCGGGGCGCTTATTACGCCGAATACGGTATGTCTATAGATGTTGTGATGGGCACAATATGACTCTTGTGTGTTTTCCTGTCTACACCATCCTTTCAATGAAATAAATTTAGATTAAAATGACATTTTTTGTTTTTTTATTATTGACCTTGTAAAACAGAATCTTCGTGGGAATGAGGATGTCAACACTGTTGATTGGTTGAACACTAGTTTGAACAGTATTTCAGTTATGTCATGGGTGTCAGTATGATGTGGGAGGAAAGTCAGAAGTGTTGCACATCTGAAACATTTACCACTATGGTTCTGATGAAGCTAGAAACAAAATCTTTGCAAATTTAGGATTTCAAATGATCGATCAGAGGTTTCTACCCCTTAAGAGTCTCCAATTAACTCTGCACTGTGAATTGGCCTTTAGACTCTGCTGCAATTGACTTGACTTTGCATGTGTTTGTGATGGTGCCTACGGAAATGCCTACTGAACTAGCAATAGTCAGTCATACCCTAGATTGTCTGAATCATTTTAGATGTGGCAGGCCTCAAAGGACAGAGGTCGTCTTCAAGGCTCTGCTTGTCAGGCTTAAACTCTTGTGCCCACCTCTATACCTCTATGCCTATATATACTTTGTAAGTTGTCTTAAATCACACCATGTCACTTGATTTCGAAAAGAACGTTAAGCAGTCATACATGTTAAATATGGCCATAACCTTTCTGTACCAGACACATTCCTCTAAAGGTCACTTCACATTTTTATGGACAGAATAACTAAATGAGAAAACTGTTCAGAGAAAACACTGAGAGGGTGCGTTGAGAGAAGGGAAGGCTATAGTCAGCAAAGCATGCCACATATTGAAATATTAAGCCCTGTCAAGCAAAGTGAGTGGGTGAGGGAGTACTTTTAACAATATTCCAGTTATATCACGGCGTGTCAGCTTAATTGGGGAGAAAAGTTCCGAAGTGATGCAGGTCTCAGACGTTTATCACTTCGGTGAAACCCACGAGTACGGGTATGGTGTTGACAAACCTAGAAACACAATCGGTGCGAAAACCCGGATTCGAAGCCAGAATCATTGGTTTCTGGCGTGCCAAGGGACGCAACTCTGACCAAGCAAAGACGCGGACATAAAATATATCACCAGGCGTTATAGAGGTAGGCTGGGTTTGATTCAAGTTATTAAAACTTGCCGCGTGTGTCTGCTATCTCCAACTTTTTATGTTTAACAGTTGACAAGATTATTAGTCCTGAAGTACACTTTTAGATTGAAGAAGATCTGATAACCAGACACCTTATTTTTCATCTGCTAATGTTCTAAATGGTGGTGGTGATGGTGGGTTGCGCTTGAATTACTCAAGTTGTGATATATTTTCAAGATACACGAATACGAAACGAAAATTGACAAATAGCAAACCGTAGCCCTCCTTTTCCAAAAGGGTTTATCGACGCTTTATGAGAGATATAATGTAGAGCCGATCGCCTATCCATTGTTTTAGTAACCCCGGAGTCGAGTTATGTTATTTTCTATTTCACAAAATCTGAAACCGAGTGTAACGAAACTGAATGCGACAAATTCAAACTAAATCCCATATGAGTCATTCTAAGGACAAAGTGTTCTCGATGGGTAAACATGCCCTGTTTCGTCGACAGTGCCTTATGGCCATGCATGTTTATATAATGAAGCAGTGACAAATGTTTATACAAGGATAAACATAACTCCTTTCTAAAGTTTAGTTCCGATATATTTACTTCACTAACTAACCAATACAAATATGTACACACACGCATTGCCTGACCACTATATGCACCAACGCTCACTATATGTCAATATATGCATTAACACGTACTATCTGACCAATATATGCATCAACGCTCACTATCTACCAATAAATGCATGTAGAAGTCTTCACAAAAAACAAAACGTGTTTAAACACGCAGGACCAGAATAGACCAGTGATTGACATCATGAGCATCGGTCCCCGTAATTGGGATAAGTAGACACAAGCAATCAACCAATCCATTTAGTCTGTTGTTACGACAAGCACATGTTGCTGGGGACCTATTCTTACCCACTCAGGGACGTATTTACAAGCTTTAATAGAGTTCTATACACCTATCAAACATACAAGCTTATAGAGCCCTATACACTATCGTACATACAAGCTTATAGAGCTCTATACACTATCGTACATACAAGCTTATAGAGTTTTATACACTATCGTACATACAAGCTTATAGAACTCTATACACTATCGTACATACAAGCTTATAGAGCTCTATACACTATCAAACATACAAGTTTATAGAGCTCTATACACTATCGTACATACAAGCTTATAGAGTTCTATACACTATCGTACATACAAGCTTAAAGAACTCTATACACTATCGTACATACAAGCTTATAGAGCTCTATACACTATCGTACATACAATCTTATAGAACTCTATACACTATCGTACATACAAGCTTATAGAACTCTATACACTATCGTACATACAAGTTTATAGAGCTCTATACACTATCGTACATACAAGCTTATAGAGCTCTATACACTATCGTACATACAAGCTTATAGAGCTCTATACACTATCGTACATACAAGCTTATAGAGCTCTATACACTATCGTACATACAAGCTTATAGAGTTCTTTACACCCATGGGGTGGTCGGGGAGCCTAGTGGTTAAAGCGTTCGCTCGTCACGCCGAAGACCCGGGTTCGATTCCCGACATGGGTACAATGTGTGAAGCCCATTTCTGGTGTCCCCCTCCGTGATATTGCTGGAATACTGCTAAAAGTGGATTAGAATGTCCTCTTCAAGATCCGTACGCCAGCAACAGATATTTTACGCCCGTTTCCTAAGGTTCATGGAAAGTATGTTCGAAACGTAAAAATGTTGATAAATGTTGTTTTAAGGTTCAAAATCGATTTATAAGTAAGATAAAACATTTCCCCCCGGGTTGTTATGATATTTAAAACCCTTTCCCTCAGAAAATCCATGGGGGCAAGCCCCTCGGGATGCGGGTTTTAAATATCATCACAACCATCGGACGTGTTTTATCATATACATACAAGCTTATAGAGCTCTATACACTATCGTACATACAAGCTTATAGAGCTCTATACACTATCGTCCATACAAGCTTATAGAGCTCTATACACTATCGTACATACAAGCTTATAGAGCTCCATACACTATCGTACATACAAGCTTATAGAGCTCTATACACTATCGTACATACAAGCTTATAGAGCTCTATACTCTATCGTACATACAAGCTTATAGAGCTCTTGACACTATCGTACATACAAGCTTTTAGAGATCTATACACTATCGTCCATACAAGCTTATAGAGCTCTATACACTATCGTACATACAAGCTTATAGAGCTCCATACACTATCGTACATACAAGCTTATAGAGCTCTATACACTATCGTACATACAAGCTTATAGAGCTCTATACACTATCGTACATACAAGCTTATAGAGCTCTATACACTAGCGTACATACAAGCTTATTGAGCTATATATACCTATCGTATATACAAGCTTATAGAGCTCTATACACCTATCGTACATACAAGCTTATAGAACTCTATACACTCTCATACATACAAGCTTATAGAGCTCTATACACTATCGTATATACAAGCTGATAGAGCTCTATACACTATCGTACATACAAGCTTATAGAGTTCTATACACTATCGTTCATACAAGCTTACAGAGCTATATACATCTATCGTACATACAAGCTTACAGAGCTCTATACATCTATCGTGCATACAAGCTTACAGAGCCCTATACACTATCGTACATACAAGCTTTTAGAGATCTATACACTATCGTACATACAAGCTTATAGAGCTCTATACACTATCGTACATACAAGCTTATAGAGTTCTATACACTATCGTACATACAAGCTTATAGAGCTCTATACACTATCGTACATACAAGCTTATATAACTCTATACACTATCGTACATACAAGTTTATAGAGCTCTATACACTATCGTACATACAAGCTTATAGAGTTCTATACACTATCGTACATACAAGTTTATAGAGCTCTATACACTATCGTACATACAAGCTTATAGAGCTCTATACACTATCGTGCATACAAGCTTATAGAGCTCTATACACTATCGTACATACAAGCTTATAGAGCTCTATACACTATCAAACATACAAGTTTATAGAGCTCTATACACTATCGTACATACAAGCTTATAGAGTTCTTTACACCCATGGGGTGGTCGGGGAGCCTAGTGGTTAAAGCGTTCGCTCGTCACACCGAAGACCCGGGTTCGATTCCCGACATGGGTACAATGTGTGAAGCCCATTTCTGGTGTCCCCCTCCGTGATATTGCTGGAATATTGCTAAAAGTGGTTTAGAATGTCCTCTTCAAGATCCGTACGCCAGCAACAGATATTTTACGCCCGTTTCCTAAGGTTCATGGAAAGTATGTTCGAAACGTTAAAATGTTGATAAATGTTGTTTTAAGGTTCAAAATCGATTTATAAGTAAGATAAAACATTTTCCCCCGGGTTGTTATGATATTTAAAACCCTTTCCCTCAGAAAATCCATGGGGGCAAGCCCCTCGGGATGCGGGTTTTAAATATCATCACAACCATCGGACGTGTTTTATCATATACATACAAGCTTATAGAGTTCTATACACTATCGTACATACAAGCTTATAGAGTTCTATACACTATCGTACATACAAGCTTATAGAGCTCTATACACTATCGTACATACAGGCTTATAGAACTCTATACACTATCGTACATACAAGTTTATAGAGCTCTATACTCTATCGTACATACAAGCTTATAGAGTTCTATACACTATCGTACATACAAGCTTATAGAGCTCTATACACTATCGTACATACAAGCTTATAGAGTTCTATACACTATCGTACATACAGGCTTATAGAACTCTATACACTATCGTACATACAAGTTTATAGAGCTCTATACTCTATCGTACATACAATCTTATAGAGCTCTATACACTATCGTACATACAAGCTTATAGAGTTCTATACACTATCGTACATACAAGCTTATAGAGCTCTATACACTGTCGTACATACAAGCTTATAGAGTTCT